GATGTGCTGTGGTGTAGCTGTCATCCCTCTAGTTTATCAGTTCAAGATTAAGGATTGCTACGTTTGTGTAGCCTTCCGCGATAATTCTAAAACAAACAAAGCTTAATGTTTCTTATTTTTCATAAGGTTAATTCTTGCATGACAGCAATCCTATGACGAATCTATGACCAATAAGAAGCATACACAAAATATATATTTTTAAACGTTTAAGTTTTCAAACATGCAATTCTTCAAGGAACCAGCCAATAGAAATATTTGACATACATAGACGTGTAAAGCATATTTCGTACTATCTACGTTAAAAATTTACTTTATCAACTTTTAAACCAAGAACAGTTTTTTGCTCCAGTCATTCCTCGAAAAAGAAAACTGTGGTTGTTTGCATTTTAACTACCTGATATTTGTTACCATAGATTCAAATAACAAGAAAATTGTACAAATTTCATGGAAACTTGAATATTTAGTTAGGAATCGAAAGTTTAGTTTATTTCTTCGAACAATTAAAGTTAGTTAAACTTAACTGTTAATTTCAGACACAGCTAACGCACCATTGAAATTATTTTAATTTTTTTTTGAGTTAACATGGACTGATCCTGCCAAATAGAAACACGTGTGTGAAGATGTCTCTAGAAGCATTAATTCAATTTCTTATCATGCGTTAAAATATTTAACACATTATGCTTGCCGTTAAGCTTAGAATCTGTGTTTATACAAATAAGGGTATTGTTCAGATGTTTAATAACCAAATAAAACAAGTTACAGATAAAAAAAAATTTTGAGGGAACACAAGTAGTTTGTACCTAAAACATGGCCAATATGTTATGGAGGTATGAAGGTAGCAGCAGAATGTAATAACCTGGAAGTCTATAATGGAAGGATATTCGGTGCAAGAGATTTCAAAGAACTGATTTAACAGCTATACTGAGAAAAAGTTGCATATACATTTCATGCTGTTTCTAATAAAAACAATAGTTGGTTTATTATATATATATATACTTCAAAACTGATATTGCTGGAAATGATACATTAAATTATACAGTTGCTTTTATAAATAGTTGGAGGCCGGAAACCAGATTTTAAAACACATCCAAAAACAAAAAAAATAAATTATAACTGAGACTTTGCACTTGTTTCTCTTATGTTTTATTTAGGATTTTGATGTGTACTGCGATCATTATGTACGTAGATTGGTGCAAGTAAAACCAATTTGTCTTGTGTACTTTTGTTAGCCCACACCGATATGAGATTTGCTTGTTGGACATTGAAATATTGTAAAAAGGCACAGATCTAACGCCTTATTGCAACTTTCATGTAGTGTACTTCAACAGTGTTAAACTTATTAGCGTGCTGCTGGTAAGAATTAAAAAAAGGATAATTAATGCACGTTCCGACCACTTTTTTGAATGTTTAACAGTAGGGTTTATATGCAGAGAAGCATTTTCAATTTTTCAATTTGTAGTAAATATATGTTAAATAAGAGTGAAATTCAGTTCACATAATGGTAATTTACTTTTTAATATTGTGTTCATAATCAATACGATTTTAGTATGATAGGTGATATTCTCGAGTAATTTCTATGTAATGCATGATTGTGGTCGAAGGTGAAAATAATTAAACATGCTAATTTTGTTCCATATATACAACAGTAATTTTGTTGTATATACCTGTTAGATAATATATTTCACAATCCCGGTTCCAGGTTTTCTTAAATGTATGGGAAGGGGCAATGGATAAATAATGGGACCAAATCTAAAATATACCTAAAATTAGATTAATGGACAGCATAAGCTTGGAAGAGAGCAACGAAATTACAGGGGAGGGGGGGGGGGAGCAGCCCTGTTTTGACTACTTTCAACTCTACTATCGTGTTTCTGTGAGATACACCTTTTGGTCTTCTGTTCAAATACTTTATCACCTTAACCTACCTTCTGGTGTTACAGTCCTCAAACGTGCTAAGTCCGTCTTGTTGCCTACAATTATTACTGCTTTTCTGTCAGTGTTTTCAGTCTTGCGGAGCTGTTCGAGAAACATTTTTGCACACTGGAAACTCGCCTTATTGGTTACAGAATACACCACAACGCATGCGTCCACATCAGGGGCAAGTAGTTGACCTATAGGCTGAGACGGATAGAACGAATAATAAATAATGTCCACAACTAATAATATTTTAACTTACAATAAATGTAAAAACTTATATGTCTTAGAAAAATCGGAAATGAAAAACATTTTACATTTTTTTCTAGTGAGTTCCTATTTACCATTACACATTAACTTGGAAAATGGTACATGTAGTGAAGTTGCATTTTTTTCTGAAAAAAAAAAGGACAGAATTGGAAACCGAGTGGGACTGAACCCACGAATCTGCTTATGTTGTTAATTGGACTCATCTAATTTAGTTCACACAGTCAAAAGCCACACTCCCGACTGGTTTTAAGATTAAGTAACTGAAAAATTATTTTTAGCTATTATCACTCGGGGTAGAACATGCTATAAGTTTGTATTAGTCCTTAAGTTGGAACACCCTGTATGTATATATTAACTCTTAAGTTAAAACACACACAATCAGTATGCATTAACCTTTACAGTTTGTTTGTTATAAAAAATAAACCAACACAATGGGGTATCTATGCTCCGCTCGCCGCGTGTATTGAAACCAGATTGTTATTGTTGTAAGCCCTCAGACTTATCGCTAAGATACCGGAGGCAACCCTTAAGTTAGAACACGCTGTGAATATGTATTAATATTTCAGTTAGAACACGTAATAGATGTGTATCAGCTTCTAACGTAGACACCACTTTTGGGTTTGTTATTCTTAAATCAAGCAAATCTTTCAGTTTAAGTACTTAAAAATTTAACAGAAAAAAAACATTCAATTAAAAGCAGTTTTTATTCAACCTTTTTAAATATCATATTTTATAAGTTTTTATAGTATTCAGATCAAGACTGTTTTTTTATTAATCTCTTTATACTAAGACATTTTTACATAGTTTGGAAATTTTACATATGATATTATCTGACTACGATAAAAAATTCCTAAAAACATAGAAATACAGAAAACTAATTATTTTTAGGCTAAACAATTTTTTTGGATAAAACCTTCTAAGTTCCATTTACATTTATCTAGTTACAATACTTTATGTGTTTGAAAGAGATGCTTGTATTATAGAAATGATGAAAACAAAGACGATTGTACTTTTCACAAATCCACAGTTTCGCCAGGAACAACATCAGATGTATATATGTTGTTTACAAACGTAATACTGAGAATCGGTCAATCTTGAGACTGTAGAACAACAAAACAGCTTTAAAAAGAGGTAACAATAGTACCCTTTCCTTTAAAACAATATGGATTTGTACAGAAACAGAAGTAAACTGTTAGTATTTATATAACAGATTTTAATCTCAAGAGGAATTACAAACGTAGTTTGAGCTTTTTTTATTTTATTGTGTTATATATATATATATTTCTTTTTTTTTCTTTCTTTGCTGTTGCTCTTATAACTTTCGCTATTGAGTGCAACAAAGACTTTTTTCGAAACGCTATTTGTGAACATTTCTAACTGGAATCCCTAAATGGGTCTCCTAACCCTCGCGGAGTTGAAAGATTGATGTACTATGATACGTCACCACATTCTATGACCTAAAACTTTGCATGTTTCAGTAGTTATCATTTTCTCCCTCGAAAGATTTTTACTGCGAAAATTGTGTGTTTAAAAAAATTGAAGTCGATTAAAAAAAGTTACTATTCAGGTAAAGTTGGTTATTTAAGAAAAAAACGTATCATAATAGAAGTTTAAACGATTTTATTCACAAACATTTTTCTCAAGGCCTCACGGTGGCTCAACGGCAAGCTTGAGGGCTTATAACGCTAATTTCGTGGTTTAATCCCTTCAGTGGTTACAGCACATATATTCTATTGTGTATTTTTGCACTTAATAACAACATTTTTAAAGCCTATATCAAATTTTTGCATGTTCTAATTGCTACAATGAGTTAAATCTATCGTTGGCTCAGCTGTAAAGCTGAGGGTTTATTATGCTAAAAATTAGGTTTCGATACTTGCGGTGAGCGCTGCACAGATAGCCCATTATGCAATGATTTGAACAGAAATATAAATTTCGACTTAGTTTTTCTAAAAAATTATATTATTATTTTCACAAGCTATATTTTTCATATTTCAGTTTACATGTTTGTTTCCTAGAACGTCAATGATACAATAACTAGAAATTTCATGAGAGTTATGGCCTATGTAAAACCTAACAAATTCATGTAGCCTGCAGAAAGAATACTAAAATAAAAACACCAGAATCGGTGAATCTTTCATTCAATCAGTGAAATATTTAATGAGTCAATGAATGAACACTACAGTACCAGTCAGTGAGTTATTCAGTTCTACGAGTCACTTAGAAGCTAAACAATAAACAGCCGTGGGGGCGTTATAATGTGACGGTCAATCCCACTATTCGTTGGTAAAAGAGTAGCCCAAGAGTTGGCGGTGGGTGGTGATGACTAGCTGCCTTCCCTCTAGTCTTACACTGCTAAATTAAGGACGGCTAGCGCAGATAGCCCTCGTGTAGCTTTGCGCGAAATTCAAAACAAACAAACAAAATTTGGCAGAATTTCACACATTAATAACGTATAATTTTGCAGAGAATTTAATTATCGTAAGTAAGAGCGATACCTTAAAATAACTATATTCTTCACTTGATTAATCTTTAGTTATGAACTTTGTAGGTAGTTTGTTTTGATCAGTAATTAAATATAGATAGTTAAGTAAGTATTTTTTCCAATGGCCAATTTGAATGATAACGAATTTTAGAGATCCACTGTAATTTGCTTTTCTCCCATTGCATTAGTTTCTATTTTACTCTTTTTTTCACCGCTTCTAATTTAAGAAAACTTTGAATGACCTTAATTACCCTGAATGCTAGCATTACCGCTTATTCTTATATAGTGCTTCGTTTTGTCGGGTCCTTTTAGTCATTCCAGAAGAAAGTAGGACGCTACTGATTGGACTAATAACTAAGAAAATGTGCCCGACTGCTTGTTCTTGTTGAAAATAATAATTGCCAGTACCTGCATGTCAGATACTTCATTATGTTTTAATTGGTGCATCTCTAATCAGGCCGACTGGATCTGTAAAAACCAGAAGATATATATATTAACTAAAGAGAAAATGTATTCTTATGATTATGTGCATATTCAAATCCATATGAATCATAGTGGAAGAGAATTAAAGTTAATTAGAAACAGCCAGCAGCCCATGCAAAGGTTTCTTTTACACAATTAACCGTATTCTAGTCTTCATTAAATAGTTTACTAGCAGATATCTTTCACAGTGAAAACATTAAGTCTTAATTATTAAACTTTATATGAGTAAATATTATTGCTTTTATTCCGTGAAGCAGGAATTATACCTTCATTTATATATTTCCTAAGTTTGAAAATCCAAGAGACAAAAAAATCATTCAGAAATTGTGTTAGTGTCATGGAAACTTAAAATCTAGGCGAAAAGACGTAAAACGTTAATTTCTTAATAGATACATATGTGTACCAATAGCTGTATATTTCTTTTACTAGATGGAATTACAGTTGTTTAAAGTAGGTATAAATGGGATATATTTTTTGCCGTATGTTTCGTCTTATTCTTATGACTTTGTTTTTGTACATGTCTAGCTTCTCTTCTCTTTCTATATCACATGTGATATAACTAGCCTAAATATCTCAAAAAATATCATTAAAGTACTTTCGGTAAAACAATGAACTTGTGCAAGAATGTAAAGATATAATTTTTTGGTACGCAAATTCATAGGAAAGATATGGCACAAATACAAACAAAATTATATGAAAGGTAAACTTTTCAAATTATATTAAAAGGAACTTGGTATCAGAAATTGTATTAATATTCAAAGCAGATCCATGATCAAACTTTAACAAAATAATGATCTCTTTCTGAAAAAACGAAAATGTTTAGAACAAAATGTAATACACGTGGGACTTACAGGTAATCAATGGATATCTGCCAATGTAATCCAAGTGGGACTTACAGGTAATCAATGGATATCTGCCAATGTAATCCAAGTGGGACTTACAGATGTGTTTGTTTTCGAATATTCGCGCAAAGGTATTCAATGGATATCTGTCCTAGCCGTCTCTAATTTCAAACTGATAGACTGTAGCAGCGTTTCTCAATCTGTGGTTCATAGACTACTGATGATCAAAAGGCTTCCTTGAAGTTGTTCGTGGAAAGGTTACATAATTACGAAAAGGAAGCGGCAGTATAATGTATAAAATATTTATCCCATTGTGATCATCCTAGACAAAGAAACAAAATGCAGGATGTGCACGAATAAAAAACAAATGTTCAGAAGCAGTAAAGTAAGGGAAGGTAGCGATTCAACAGCACTCACCACCAAATTTTAGGCTACTCTTTTCTGGCTGGATAGTGGAGTTTGCCCTTTGCCCTATTAACGCGCCCATAGATTTTTACAGATATATTTGTAAATTTGATTTAAAAAATCAAACATAGTTTTATGCAATGAACGATTTTATTTCTTGAATGATTTACAGTAAGAAAACTGTGTTTTAATAGAGGTCATTATATTATTTTTTAGGATATTAGATCCTTCGTAAAACACTCTTGAACACACACATATATCCATTACAGCTTTTTACTAGTAGGAACCTTCTAAATTCTAACTCAGCTAATTACTCAAAAAATATAGTTTTCAGAAGAAACACTGAACACATAAAATAAACGATAATACAAACAACATTTTTTATTGTTAAAAGCCTGTTCTTGCAGCGAAACTGAAATGCAACCTTAGAAATAAACTCAACCTTGAACTGGGATGGAACTTATAACAAAACTATCGTGACAAGTTACCCTAATATCTTATATAAATATTTATCTCGCTTATGATTACGTCACTGAGGTTTTTAAAGAAAGCTAGTAATCAAGTCCACATTATTCACGGCTTATATTGGTTGTAAGACACAAAAATTATTTCCACTGTCTGGTTAGTCTAGATAAATTCAAGAAAGAGTGGTAATTCAAACATCAAAGGTCACTATCTATAATAAGATAACGTTTTGTAAGTTTCAAAGTATAAACAGA